GAATATGAAGACTTTCAAGATTTCAAAGATTATAAAAAAGCATGCAAGGTTTATTAAAGTAGTGTAAGAAATTATAACAACAAAGAAATTTCTATACAAGAATCAATTACTAATGACAACATAGAAAATATATATTTTATATAGGAGGCACGCCCTATACTCGTGACTTATCTCCACAAATATACACTGGCTATATAGGAGAGTTTACTAAATTAAAAAATAAATGTAATAACAAAGAAATATATATATTTAATAAAGAAAATATTAACCAAGAAATAAACTCTGCCACATATAATAAATTATACTTCCTAAATAAAACTATAATAAATCCTAAGAAACCTAAAGAAGCAAAAGGATTCTATCTTATTGTACTAGAAATAAAAAACCAATAGAATTAAAACTAGATGAAGGATCTACTAAAACCATAATGGGCATAAATTATGCTAAAAAACTAAAAATGTATAAACTTATAGAAAAACCAGCCACTGCTAAAGCAGTAGAAAATCATGTGCAAATATATGGAAAAATGCTCGTGGATATTAAAATCAATGAATTCTTAACCACTAATATTAAAATAGATGTTCTAAACACATACTCTAAATATATATTACTAAGTAATAAAACTTAATCAGAACTTGGTATAACCAAGGATACCAAAAACAAATTATTTTAATCAATAACCAACCAGTTATTAATCAACACAATCTTAGCCAACACAACAGTATGGTAAATGCATCTGAAAGGTACTTCAGACTAGGGATAATGTACACTATGATCACTGACTTTCAGGCAACTTTGACTTGAAAAATCATATCTAATTTAGCCGAAGACAAGACCACATGGCACCCAACGTTAATATTTATTATCTGCAAGAGACCTACCCACACCAAAAGGCAAACAATATTAGAATTAATCATCTGAACAGGATTAACAGATAAATAATGATATTAAGAACAGCCCACAATACCACTATAAAGACATCTACACAAACAATAGAGATTCCCAATTTAACAAACAATATTTGAATGAAGAAAAGGCATGACAAAATGACATTCCCCCGACCATACAATTTACTAAAAAAAGCATAAGTGAAGTAGCTATTACTATGTTCTATAAACAATGTGAACTAAATCAACAAAGAAAAAAATTATAGAATTGACATGTGATGAATACAGGCACAAAATAGTAGAAGCAGTAGTCCAAACTAATTGTAATATTGTACAAACATTCCTACAATATATACTAATATCTAATATACAAAACTATATTAAACATATAGAAAGTTACCTTATATTGCAAAGAGGAAAAATAGATATCTTAAATGATAACAATATAATTAATGGAAATACACTATCAAAGTTAGAAATAATTATACTTGTATTAATAGAATTAATAATAAGTGACACCTTATTAAATAGACAAGGAGAAATATGATAGCAAACAATACAAATCACTGAAAAAATACAAAGAGCTCATAATATAGAAGCAAAGAAATATGTTTTATGGGTGGTGTGCATTTTGCTGACAATCACTTTACCGATAGCTTAGTTTACTGATAATTAATTAACTGACAAGTTCATTTCACTACAATTATTTCACCCACAACATTTCGTTGACAAAATAATTCTGGTTATTGTTGTTAGTGTCAGGTTAGAATTAGAGCTACGGTTAGTATAATTTATATAAAATACTTGTCAGTGAAATGAGCTGTCAGTGAAATAATTGTCAGTGAAATGAACTTGTCTGTAAATTAATTGTCAGTGAACTAAGTTGTCTGTGAAGTGATTGTTGGTGAAATAACACGTATCCATGTTTTACATATAGAAACTAGAAGATATAAAACTAGAGACTTTAAAAAAGAAATAAAACTAAACCTCGAGAAGATACTTAAAAGAACACAACAAACAGATGTCATGATATTATTAGAAAATTTAGCATCTGTACGATGTTATGGAACAACACTAAAAGAATTGCAAGAAATCAGAAATATAATAGATAAATAATATCATTACAAAAAAAATAGAAATCAAACAACAGACAGAATAAAATTTTGCTTTGACACACAATATTATTTTACTGCAGAGGTAGGCAAAACAATAGAACAATTTGAAGAAGTCTTAGAGAAATATAGTCAAGAAATAGAATTATTTCACATAAATAATATAATGAAAGAAAGAAGATTACAGGATGGATGCATTCTAAAACCAACAATATTCAGAAGTGGACAAGACGTATACATATACATAATACATAGACAACTAGTATAATATAGTTTCCGAGAAGCCCTTATACCTAATAAAAGGTATACAAATAGTATAATATAGTTTCCGAGAAGCTCTTATACCTAATAAAAGGTATACAAATAGATAACAAATTGAATAATGAATTGAAAAGTGAAAGAGTAAAACAAAAATGTCAATCAAATGACTCATGTGATCATGTGATCTATCAGAGTTGTGAAGAGAAATCGAAGTGTTGGGCAGCATAATCAGCATTGGGTACAATAGGTTCTTGATCACTAAATGCATAAATATGATGATTAGTTGGGGAATAATTAAAAGTTTAATAGATTAATGACAAAGAAATAGTTAAAAGTGTAGTACAAACTATGTAATTGTTAGAATTAGATAAATAATGAATGAAAAATAAAGAAATACAGTTAGTCTCTTTGACTGGAAATTAAGTAAGCATTGTTATAAAGTAAATACTTATATGATCCGAAGTGTAGTGTGTGTTGTATAGTGTGCGTCTCAAGTGCTATGCGAGACTTAAATTAAATCAAAGCCATCTGGGCCAGATAGCAGTCACTACGGTGATTGCCTAACTCTTTGACAGAGAAGGACCTGGGTAAAAAAGTACCCTTGCAACGTTAAAGTTCAGACGAAATAGTCAAGAGACTCAAGAAGTGGTAAAACAATATAAGACAATAATTTATAAGAATCATTAAAATATAAGAACAATAGTTAATAAGAAATATTAATAAGGACAATAATTAATAAGAAACATTAATAAGAACAATAATTAATAAGAAACATTGATAAATAAGGACAGTAAAAAATAAGAACATAATACTTAGAGTATATTGATACAAACTTATTAAGGATACGATCGGCCATGTCAACACAAGACATCACCAACCCATTTTATCATGATAATAAAGATGAAGACATAGAGGATTTCCTCTTTGACTTCAAAATATATGCTGAATCAAAACAATGGGATGACGATAAGAAGAAGAAGGTTGTTGGGCTCTATGTTGCTGACAAAGCGAGAGTATGGATACATGAATTGATGAAAAAGGCAAATATCTGGGCAGATCTAAAAACTGAAATAGAAAAGGCCGCAAAAATGAAATTTCATATAGAAGAGAAAATTATAAGGCTAATGAGGATAAAGCAAAATAAAAACAAATCTGTGGTTGGGTATACCAACAGATTCGAATCACATGCTTATGAAATAAAAGATGAAATCTGTAATAGAGAAAAACAGAAATAGTTCTTGGCAGGACTAAAAAGGGAATACTGATCAAAGGTAAAAGAACATTATCTAGCTGACTACCACAAAGCAACAAGTCTGGCTATGAAAATTGAAAGATATAATAAAGACAATGAGTTTGACTTGCAAATTGTGAATAATACGTTAATAAAAGAAAACAATGAAAGTACTAAAACAGATATTGACGATCTGACAAAAGCAATAGAAGCCTTAAAAATTTCCTGGGTTAAAAAGAAACCCGATGATAACATTAAAAAAATAAAAGATACGATCAAAGAAATGGCCAGGGTGATGAAAGACCTATCAAAAAAGAAAAATATTCAAAAGAGTGATGATCAAAGTATGGGGCTTCGGTGCCAAAAGGATAGTCACATATCATGTGACTGTTCAGATAAAGTGTTAAAAGAATGTTTTGTAAATAAATTTGAAGAATATCAGAGAAAAGAACGAAGTTCAAGTAAAGAAAATGAAAAACAAAAAGACCCTGATGTTCATCTGGTGGAAATCACCAATGTAGAATCAAAAGAGAATAGTGAATATTTGTTGGTCAAGTTGGTTGACGAAGAACAAGGTGTAGATAATGTTAGGAATCTAGAAAAAGAAAATATAATAAACTAATGGTTAATGAAAAGTCTAATAAAAGAGGAAAGTCCAGAAAAACATTAAAAGTAAAACCAGATGAATTACCATCATCATCCACTCAAAAGGGCAATGATAAGAGTTCTATTATGTACATACTATTAATGGAATTGACAGAAGATCTTGATGCTCTAAAGGCCATCACCAATTTAAAATTTAATATATCACTTGAGCAACTACTTAAATGGTTGCCCAAAGCAAGAAATAAAATAATAAAAACATTGGCGTGAAAAAGGAAAGCAGAGGAAGTTATAGATGTGGATGTTAGGCTAAGATTTGTAAAAGAAGGAAAAATACATAAGAACAAGAATGAAATAGTACTTATGTGGACTGTCTTGATTAACAAAGATCTAGTTAATATGCCAATTGACACTGGTTCCCACTTAAACCTCATGCATGAAAATTATGCAAAAAAGAGAGAACTTAAATGGGATCAGGAATATGGAAAAGAAAAAATAGTAGATGATAGAATTAGCAAATTTAAAGGTTACATACCTCAGGTAGAGGTTAAGATGAAAGAAGTAAAAACGAACCAAAGTTTCTACATAATGAGGTCAGCAAGTTTTAATGTTTTGCTCAGAATGCTGTGGTTAGCTGGTGCCCAGTGTAATCTATATTGGAAAGAAAATGAGTATTGGTTTACGGTATTATCGCCGAAAAGACAACCATTATTTATTGTCTCAGAAGTGCCCTGGAGTTGGATAGAAAAGGATGAATATATTGACAACAGTGAAATAGATGAATATAATGATGATGAGGATGAAGTGAATCAAGTAATAGCAGTGCAAAGATTTCAAATAGTAAAAGAGAATAAACAAACCCTAAAAATGAGTAAAGAATGAACAAAAGATTAGAATAATCGAAGCATGTCACATGATAGACAAACTTTTAAAACTGAAATGTCATTGAGGACAATGAGACGAATGGTTTTGCAAAAGCTAACAGCAAAGAATATAGATTTACTGAATTTCAGGCCTGAACTCTTACCCGAAGAAAGACAATATATAAAAGGGCAGTTAGTAAATGAAGTGTCAAAAATATTCGCTTTTGATATGTCTGAATTGGCTGTACTGATTTGGTAGAATTAGAAGTGAGAACCAGAGGCATAAAAATACTGTATATGAGATTGAGACCTATAAGGATCAACAATCCAGAGAAGACTCAATTGTTTGAAGAATATTTGAAGCAAATAATAAAGTATGGGTTGTTAGAAGAAGGGAAAGAACCATATGTATACCATTGTTTCCTAGTGGATAAAAAAGAAGGTGGTACTGATTAGATTCATGCTGTTGGAAATATGAAACTACTAAATCAGCATATAATAAAAGACAGTTATCCACTACTAATAATCAGAGACATACTAGAGAAAGCAGCAAGCTATGAATAGTATTCAAGTGTTGACGTATTCAAAGGATATTGGCAGATACAAATCTGGAAAGAAGATTGAGATAAAGTGGCAGTATCAACAACATTAGGCATATTATGATATACCATAATGTGCATAGGCCTGAAAAATGGCAGTGAAATTTTCTAAAGACTGATGGACTTGGTTCTAAAAGAAGAAAAATGAAAAAGGATAGCTGCAGCATATTAAGACGATGTCAGGTTATGGACAAATAGGGATTTAAAAGATCATGTGAATACATTTATTGAATTAGCTAAAACATTTGAAAAGGCTGGATTCACGTTTCCCACAAAGAAACGTCATATAGCATATAAACAGTTAAATATGTACAGTTATGTAGTAAGTAAAAAGGGAATTAAGGTAGATAAAAAGAGGTTAAAAAGGATACAAGAGTGGCCAGAACCAAAGAATCAAACAGAAGTCAGATCATTTCACAGTACTGTGGGGTACTACCATTATTTTATAAGGAATTTTAGTAAAGTCGCAAAGCCATTGACAGATCTGATGAAGAAGAATTGCAAGTTCTGTTGGAGAAATAAACAGAAAGAATCATTTGAGGTGTTAAAAAGGTTACTGTTAAAGGAAGTGGTGTTGAAAGGACCAGATTGGAAAGATGCAAAGAGTAAAGAAAAGCCATATCATTTGTATACAGATGCGAGTGATATATCAGTTGAGGCAGTCTTGGAGCAAGATGATGGTGAAGGAAATTTAAAGCCAATCACATTCGATTTGAGGAAATTAAATAAGCACGAAATTAATTATATGGTTACAGAAAAGGAGTGCTTAGTGATCGTATTCAGTTGTAACTCGAATGGTCATTATGTCGGTAGTATGAATTTTAGCATATAGGTTGATCACTAGACACTCGAATGGCTATTTAATAAAGCTGAGCTAAAAGGAAGATTAATGCGATAAGTATTAATGCTACAAACCTTCAAATTTAAGGTGAATTATAAAAGTGAAAAAAGGCATGGTAATGCTGATAGCCTATCAAGGTATCCAGAAAAATGTTTAGATGAGAAAGGAAATGATGAAAAATTTGTGGAAGTATACTAATACATGTAGAAGGGTTTAATAATAATGAACAAGATTTAGATTAGATAAAAGGATACCTGAAACATTTTTTGTGAGCATGTGATATGAAGTCATCTGATCAATATTAACTACAACAGAAGATGAAATGTTATTGCATGATTGGTAAACATTTGTACAAGAGAGAAAAAGGTGGCATCTCACCAAAACATGTGATATTTACTAAAGATGAAAAATACCAAATCCTAGAGGCAAATCATCGTGGGACTGCTGAAGAAGAAGGGCATCATGGAATCAATGCTACAGCCAGAAAAGTATTGATGAATTACTGTTGGGCTTCTGGTAACGTGTATAAAGATGTAGAATAGTTTGTGAAGACCTGTATTGAATGTCAAAAATGTGCTGTGAAAATGGTGAAGGAACTGATTCACGTGACCGTGACAAGTTGGATATTTCACAAACTGTATATCGATTGCTTAGGGCTATTGCCCAGAATATCTGGTGGTCATGAGCATGTAGTGTTGGCAGTTGAAGAATTAACTGGATATGTAGAAGGAAAAGCATTGAAGAAAAAGAATACCAATGAAATAGCCCAATTCATCTGGGATGAAGTTATTACAAGACATGGATGTTTTGAGGTATTAGTTTCAGACAGAGGTACCAAATTTAAGAACAATTTGTTGAATGAGTTAGTAACATGGCTAAATATAGATTAGAGATTCGTAGCAAGTTACCACTCTGAAGCAAATGGACGTGCTAAACATACAGTGCAAAAATTTACCTGAATCATAAGGAAAGTATGTGCAAAGAAGCAAAACAAGTGGCATGAATAAGTGAGAAGTGCGATTTGGACCATGAACATTACAGTAAATGACTTAGGGTACTCATCTTTTAGACTTGTCTATGGATGTGATGCAGTCACGCCAATTCAGTTAATGTTAGAAAGTTATCAAGTGTATGTTGCAAGAAAGGAATGGTTGACGAACAAATTGTTAAAATACTGAACCAAACAGATCAAAGGAATAGTAGAGAATTTGAAGAGTGCACAAATTAAAAAGGATAAAATAAGACAATGATGGAAGAAAATGTATGATAAAAAGGCAAAGGTGAAAGAGACCTACCAAGAAGAGGATCTGATTCTGATATATGATTCGATATTGAAAATGTTATCCCAAAAGCTAGATTATTAAAAGATGGGGCCTTACCGAGTAAGGAGTATAGGAAAATATGGTCAGGTGTATATAAATGAATTAGATGGGTATAAATTAAGGGATCCAATGACGAGGAATAGAGTAAAAAAAATATACACCTGGAAAAGGAAATCTCTGAATTAGACCAAAGAAGAATTGAATGAAGAGGGCATGGCCCTCAGGGACAAGGACCAATGGGGGTCTAGCTCATGTCACATAGTTTCTGAAGAGCCCTTATACCTAATAAAAGGTATACAAGTAGATAACAAATTGAATAACGAATTGAAAAGTGAAAGGGTAAAATGAAAATGTCAATCGAATGACTCACGTGATCATGTGATCAAGCGGAGCCATGGAGGAAAATAGAAGTGTGGGGTGGCATAATTAGGATCAGGTACAATAGGTACCATGATTGCTGAATGCATAAATATGACAATTAGTTGGGGAATAATTAAAAGTTTAATAAATTAATGACAAAGAAATAGTTAAAAGTGTAGAACAAACTATATAATTATTAGAATTAAATAAATAATGAATGAAAAATAAAGAAATACAGTTAGTCTCTTTGACTAGAAATTGAGTAAGCATTGTTATAAAGTAAATACTTATACAATCGAAGTGCGGTGTGTGTTATATAGTGTGTGTCTCAAGTGCCAAGCGAGACTTAAATTAAATCAAAGCCATCTGGGCCAGATAGTAGTCACTATGGTGATTGCCTAACTCTTTGACAACTAGACTTAAAAATATTTGATAAAATAATTAAATATGCTAAAATAGCAGTAGTAAAAACACCCAGAAAAACAGAATGGAATATAAAAGAACAAATTAATAAAATACAATACTGAGATATTTTGCAAATGATGTATTGCAATCAGATAGAGAATTAGACAAGTTATTAATAAAAAGACTCAAAGAATTACAAAAATAGGATCTAACAATTGGAATGAAATACCTATTATACCGCAAAAAATATATGCTCAACGAGGATCAAGAGAAACATATACTCCAGAACAAACAATAGAATATATAACTAAACAAATGGCTGAAATGACATTACAAAACCAAGAAAATCCTTATGATAAGGAAGAGATGAAAGCCCAAAAAGGTATATGAATTCAGAAAACAGCACAAACAATAGATAAAATTACAAATATAATGAATAAATATTCAGAAAAGAAAATAAAACCACTGAAACTACTATCTACTCCAGAAACACCAAGTTTTGGAACAATAATAGCAATACTAAAAAGAAAGAATTCCAATTTAAAGGAAGAAACAAAAATAAAGCATTTAGAAATAATTTAGTGCAATTAATAGATGAATTAACACAATTATAAATACAACATAGTCAAGTTACTTGAATGTCTAAGTGAGAAACAAAACTCTATGCTAATATAATTAAAGAAATAAAAACATTACTATTAGAAATCTGAAATGAATCACCAGGAATGACTAATAAGGAAAAGATTTATAACTTCTTAGAATATTGAGATAAACAACAATACTCTTCACAACAACACCTAAAAGAAGAAATTAATGAAAGGGAATCAAAATATCAAGGAGAAACTGATAAAGTTCTAGAAATAAACTTAAATGAATTTAGTTCAAATGATAATATTGATAAACAAGTTATTATCTAAAAACTATTAACTATATCTGAATTGGAAAGTAACAAACAAAATAGAAATAAAGCTAAACAAAAACATCAACAATTTTTGACAGAATGGGTTAAACAAGAGAACTCTGAAATATTAAAGAAACAAACAATATAAGATACTATAACAGGTGAACCAATAATGAAATTTGAGATATTACCTGAAGAACAAATAGATAAAATACACCAACAAATTGCTATAAAGAAACCAGAATTTAGAACTGATGCTGATAGTGATAAAAGTAGTGAATTAGAAGATATTTATTACTAAAATATGTATGTAGAGGCTAACAGAAATAAACAAAAACAACTGATGTATATACAATCAAGCTCACATGTGTCTACAAGTAGTATACCAAGTATACATTTAAACAATGACAACCAAAATGCAAACAAACAACAAGAACAAATATATGAGCAAATACCCAATCGCAGCAATTAAATATTGAACCAGAACAAGTAGAACAAAAATAAAGTATGTGGAATACAGTTTGAAATAAAGCATTTGCTTATATACTATCAATGAATAAAATAAATATATTTGGAACTAAAAGACAAGAACTGGATTTATGACACAATATTGTAAAGGATCAAGCAATTATAAATATCTCTAAAAATCAACAAGAGGTACTATTCTTTAGACAAAGGAAAATATCACAGAATACTAGGCAAAACAAGCCAACAACATTAAATATACAAAGTGATATAGACAACTTATATCAACAATGAGATAAATATTTGTGAAGTCAATACCCAGAACTGGTACAAGTACAAGTATATAATACT